AATTTATTAATATTATTATTAATATTATATCTTAGAAGTAGAACTAGAACTTAAGTTAGGGTTAGAAGTTAGAAGTAAAAAAATATTCAGTCTAAAAACTTAGTTAGTAGGCGATGGTGCAACTCCACTTTTATGGCACCTTAGGTATCTACGAAGTGATCACAGATTTCTGTGTATCAATCAACTGATGCAGCAGACTATTCCCGATATTCAGGAATGATGCAAAAACCTCTAACCTAACCCTAGCCCTAATTACCTATAACCGGACATAACTATTACCTGGGTCCCTGTATACAGAGAGTTGCGCTCATGACAAGTCGGAAAAAATCGGTCACCGTGATCGGCTTGGACGGCATGTGTTTCCAAATTGATCCAGCACAGCCGCTGGCCCTTTAAGTACAGCGGCTGTATGGATATGCTGTACAATGGGTCCGTAGTAATTAAATTAGACTAATCGTGCTTCAATAAAACTCAAAATTTACAGAGATTATAGCTAAGACATGTGTCTATGTGTATCTAGATTTCTAGAACTGCAAAAGCCACATTTTACAGCTGCGAGCGAGTGGAAGAGTGTAACGCATTTATCTTGTAAATATACAGTTGTCATTATTCTTCAAAATGACTAGGCTGCTGTGTTTACACTATAAGAAAGTGTACAATTTAAGCTATTATTATGGCGGCGAACGATTTGAGTTACTTTTCTAGAATCTAGATACATATAAACACGTGTTATCTATGATCTCTGTGATTCTTGAGTTTATTGAAGCGGCGAGTGGTTTAATTAATTAGCAAGTATCTTACGCGCGTATCGCAGACAGGTTAATATACGCAGCGGCTATGGGGCGGTAAGAAAGTGTACAATTAAACTATCATAATGGCGCGAAGATTTGAGTTACATTTCTTAGAAATCTAGATACACATAGACACATGTCTTAGCTATAATCTCTGTAAATTTTGAGTTTATTGAAGCCTGATTTAGTCTAATTAATTACTACGGACCCATTGTACAGCGTATCATACAGCCGCTGTACTTAAGCGGCAGCGTGTGGATCCATTGGAAACAACATGGAGTCAAATCCTGAGTTGGCGGCACTCTCTGTATATAGGACCCTACGCCTAACCCTAACACATTCGTGATACCTAAGCCTAAGGTTATACTTTATGACTTAGGGTTAGGGTTAGGGTTTTTGCATCATTCTTTGATGAAAAATTATACGGAAAGTCTGTGCATCAGTTGATGATACACAGAAATCTGTGCATCACTTCGTGATACCTAAGGTGCCTAAAGTGGATTTGCGCCGTAGGCGACTAACCAGTACCACTTACATCGCCAGCTTTTGCTGGCAACAAAAAGTAAAAAGTGTAAACACACTGGCAAACTTCATTTCAATATAAGAACCGTCTTAAACGTTTTGTTTGAATTAGCATTTCTCTAGAGTGTGTAAGCCGACCAATCTTATTCAAGTTTTTTTACTAGAAAGCGATGGGAGCGGCCATGCTGGTTTATCGGATAATTTGAGGCACAGCTGAAAAAATATAAATTATAAAGTTTATTATAAACTATATATATTAGAGAACTTTCTATTATTTCCATATTTTTTTTTTTTTACTTAATTTTCTTAAATTTATATTACAAATTGTACTGATTTCTTAATGCAAAAGTACATTATAAGATTGTTTTGATATTCCGTGTGATGAAAAGTTCGGCCTACAGTGTACAAAAATGGCGCCAAGCATAAGTTTGGATGACTTGATCCTAACTTTATATGATGTTCAAGCCATCAATATTCGCTCTTTTATTTTAAAAAGCGGCATAGAATACACCTGTGTACTTTGATCTTCGTGTGATTGTCTCACACCCAAAATTTGCTCGTAAGGTTTAACATTAACAATATCAATTTATGAGAGCCGACGGCGACGTAGCTCTAGTAATAGTACTATAACCCGCGTACAGTTGCCGCAGGCGCCGCTAGCTAGCTAGCTAGAATAGGTGCTAGCTAGCTAGCGCCTGCAGCAACTGTACGCCGGGCATAAGTACTAGAAGGGCCTAACGGCCACGTAGAAACGCCGAGGCACAGCACTGAGTCTAGGCAGATTATGGCTACAGTTGCACTGCGTCACACGTGTCGGTGTGACTGAAGGCAGTCACAAATGAATCATGTTATCAAATAATATTAATAATAATTACAAATATAATAGCAAGACGCGGTCAGTGCGGAGGTAATTTAATTGACTGTAAGATTAAATCGTGAATTCCCTTCGAGTGAGTCACTCGGGTTACTGCTCAATCCGAAATGCCAGACACATGTCGGGATCTAGTTTGTAGAGCTTATGTTATGTACGTTATCGTGTCTATATTAAGCTATGCAGTGATCTTGTTATGCATGGGCCGTGCACGCCACAAAATAAGAAGTAAACCCAATAAGTGCTTATTTTATCAAATTTTCTCGATATATATATATATAATTATGTAATCTTTAATATTATTCTATTCCAGCAAGAAGTAGCTGAACATATGTGGCATGAGGCGTCAACGTTGAAATTAAATTTTGTTTCCGTGTGTGGTGTACCGTACACGGCACTACCTATTGCCACGGTAAGGCGTTAACATAGTCAGTGTGTTTACACTGCATACACTAATCAGTTGTAATGTTGAAAAACACTTACAAGTGCAGTATTTGTCTTTCTCTTACTAATGTTGCCAGTTAGGATTACTAAGTTGCTATTAAACCTGCTACGGCTGTATGGCAGGAAATTAAGCGCATGTAAATATACAGTCATCTAGTAACTTGTTGTCTATAACGTTACATCTTCCTCTGACAGATAGCGACAGAGTAGAATACCGGATAATGTGTTAACATTAACGTGGCTATTTTAATTCCGTTGTCACTCCTCCCCTGCCCCTGAGTTGTCATGGCGATTCTTCGGCGCCGCAGAGCGTAATCTTGCTCTCAGGTCGTGTTCATGATACTAACAAGAAAACTACTGAATATCTTATAGCGATTTTCTCTTTATTCCTATGAGACACTTCCAGCTTAAAGGGACTACGTCACGAATTTTCTATGGTAAAATTTGTAAAAAAAAAATTGCCATTTTTTTACATTAAAAGTAAGAACTAACGGGACTAAACAAATCGTCAAATTCTTATCTGATAAGACTGTTTCTCAACTAGTTAAAAATCCAAAAAACCTGGACGATTTGAATTAATGTTCACATTCACATTCGAGTGTATGTTCACATCGAACAATATAGTAAAATAGGAAGTATAATGCGGCAATTTAACCATAAAATGTGAACAGAATTACTTATATTTTGTGAAAAAGTGGAAATATATTTTTAATTTTTTTTTTATTATTTACGGTGACGTAATCACTTTAAGCCTCAATACAGCAAAACTCGGGTGCGCACTGCTGTCCCGCGTATCAACTAGAACTTCTCTTCTCGTAGCTGGCTACTGTCACGCTGTGCTGCATGGTACATGATGTATACGTTCACTACGAGACGCAATCCTCAACAGGTCGTCTGCGTGAATCACGGCATCCCGATGCTGATACGCCGCAAGGAGGCGAAGGATTACGGCACGAAGAAGATCATCGAGGGCCAGTACCAGCCGGGCGATCAGTGTCTCATCATCGAGGACGTGGTGACGAGCGGGACCAGCGTCCGCGAGACGGCCGACGTGAGTGAGCCTCCTCCCGCGCTCCCGGCACCTCCCGCGCTCCCGGCACCTCCTCCCGCGCTCCCGGCACCTCCTCCCACGCTCCCGGCACCTCCTCCCACGCTCCCGGCACCTCCCGCGCTCCCGGCACCTCCTCCCGCGCTCCCGGCACCTCCTCCCGCGCTCCCATCACCTCCTCCCGCGCTCCCGGTGCCTCCTCCCACGCTCCCGGCACCTCCCGCGCTCCCGACACCTCCTCCCGCGCTCCCGACACCTCCTCCCACGCTCCCGACACCTCCTCCCGCGCTCCCAACACCTCCTCCCGCGCTCCCGGCACCTC